CTTTATTTTTTTTGCAGAGAGGAAGGGAGATGGATTGAGAGTTAGAAACATGGATGAGAGAGGGATGTCGATCATCTGCCTCCTGCATATTCCCTACTGGGTATGTGCCCGCAACAAAAGTACACGCCCTTGATCAGAATTGAACCTGGGACCCTTGAGTCTGCAGGCCGATGATGTTCTGTCCACTGAGCCAAACCAGTTAGGGCTATTTTGTCACTATTTTAACCATAATGCTGATCTGGTAAAATCAGTCAACTTGACTAAAGCACATTTTTTTCCTTCAAACAGTGAGGTACCTAGTATGTACTAGGCACTATGCTGAATTCTGAGGCTAGCTCTTGCCTCAACTGCTTTGAAGGAGAAGGGAATAGAGTTCTTAGCTCTTCCTTAAACTCTTAGGAGCTGTGCCTGGTGGCTAGACAGTGTGGTAGAATGGGATGACCCTGGACTTCTGAGACGCGCACTTGGATTTTAATTCTGACTTCACAGCTTGGTAGTCATGTGAGCAGCAAACCTTGGGAAAATCATATCTTTGGACCTTGGTGAACTATAAAGTGGAGACAATGGCAACTACTTCATTATTATGCCAGGCTGCAGAGCAATACCCTAGTGTCTAAGTTAACCCGTGACCAACTGAAAGCTCACTCACCATAATAATGCTTTGCTTTTTGTGTTTCCTGCTCTGTTAAAAAGTGAGAAAAAACTTCCCCTGACTCTAGTCATTCAGATCTTACAAAAAAATAACGTCATCCTATTCCTTTTGTAGCTTTTCTCACCTGAGTGCGTATCTCCCCAGCCTGGTGCTCCTCTTGTCTGTCTGCCATACTTGTCAGGAAAGCACACCCTCACCTCAATTTCTGAGCTCTGGATGGGGCAGGCCAGTTGTTCACGCACTACCAGGTAAATGAAGTCACCAGCACAGCAGCATCCAGGAGTGGAGGGGGGCAGGGCAGGGCAGGGTTTCCCAGGGGAGAGACGGGATGTTATTTCATACCTGTGTGGAGGGGATTTTATTACCTGCACTGCTGCTACTCACCAAGGAGGAAACACCATCTGAAGAAGATTTTCCTGGGTGAGGAAACTCGCCCACCACCACAGCCAGCACAGCTGTTCCGCAGTCCACCCGCCCCTTCACTGCTGTCAAAACAGCAGGAATGAATACCACCCACTCCGATGCCTCAGGGAGAAGTCAGGTCTCCCTTTTCTGTCTCTCTTCAGCTTAACCCAGTTAGGCTTTCTCTGTAACTTGATTTCCAACAAACCCATTTTCTGGTGCTGCTAGAACATAGAGATTGAGGTTTCTCGGCTTCACTCCCTCGCTGGCTGCAGGCAAGGCTGTGGTAGCCTGCCCTCCAGCAGGCAGGGGGTGGCCACCAGGGTGCTGTTTACAGTGGGCACTCACTACAGGTCACTAACAGACCACTCATCAAAATGACCGTACCGTTGCCTTTTTATAGGCAGTTTACCAAAGGACAGGACCAAGCCCCCAGCAGTGTGGCACAGGAGCATAGTGCTATCAACCCAGTCAAACCTTGGTTCAGACATGGTCCCACCACTGCTAGCCATGAGACATAAAACAGGTTCTTGTTAATAAAACCATCCCTTCCGGGATTTCCTTGTTTGACAGTTCATTGTTATTTTCTCACAGTGGCTAGGATCACCCACTAAAAGAAAAGAAAAATGGCTTTGTAAAGTATATGATTATCTAATCACTATGCTGCACACCTGAGACTAATACAAAATACTATTGAATGTAAACTAATTGTAAAATAAAGTTTAAACAATAATGGGCAATGGGCAATCATTGAACATAAAAAATAAAAAATAAAAGGAATGGTTTATAATGAGACACCCAAGAGATGGCCAAGTACTGAAGACCTCAAAGTATTCCAAAATGTTTTCATTGCTTTGGCGGGGAAGGGGAACCTTCAGTGAGGCTTTATTCCTAGCTCATTTCAGTGGTCCTGGCACCTAAGGCCAGAGCAAGTGTTCAGGGGAACATTTAACAGCAATTGCTACCACTTTCTAAACTCGACAGTCCTCTGAGAAAGATCATTACAAATGAAGGGACTGCTGCTCTGTGAGATGAACACCCATCCTGCCCAAGGTCACTGAGCTGTTTGTTCAGTGAGAGAATTAGAACCCATACCACTATGACTTGAGAGCCTGAGATTTTCCCACCACACCACACGGCCTTAGACGCAGACCATGGCCACACTGGCCCAGAAACAGAAGGCAGGATCTCCAGAAAGGAGGGGAGGAAGAGTGGAGAAGGGAGGGGCCCTGGGCTCTATTCCTCGACAGCCACCTGTTCTCACCCACACTGCACACTGAGACTAACTCCTACTGCGCCTGGGGGAGGGGACTTTTTCCATCTTTTGTGTCTTGAATTTTTTACCCCCTTGCTTTGCTCTTCCCTTCTCTCCTTGTTCCTTTTGTAGATAATACTCCCACAGACCTCCCACGGCAGCTCCAAAAGGCAGCCTCCTGAGCTTGTTGACAGTGGCTTTGAGCTGTCTCTGAACAGGGCTCTCCCTCAGCCTTCCTCTCCCTGTGACACCCACCATGGCTGAATGAGTGGCGTTGTGGGGAGGGGAGGAGAAAACAGGTTACAGTGAGGAAGCCAGCGCTCACCCACTTCACAGTGCTCTGTTCAACTCCCTAATCCCCACTTTACTGTCTCCTTGATGTGGGTCCCTGCCCCTTGTGTGTGTTTGGGGGTTGGGGTAGGTGGAAAGAAAAGGCAGGAAGATCTTAAGGACTTAGGTAACAATGTAGGGAGAGAGAAGGAGACTTGCTGGAAGTAACCAAGTTGGTAAAAACGATATGCCTCAACCTCTGTTTCCTCGTTTGTGAAAGGGAGTGCAGCTAGCACTACCATGCCTATTTCACCAGGTTTCCTATAAAATTCAAAATCAGATCAACATTTGCATGATGTACATGTCACACATTGTTCTAGGCCCTTTACTCATTTCATCCTAACAATCCTCCGAAGGGTCATTATCATCCCCATTTTACACAGAAGGAAATTAAGTCACAGAAGGAAAATCACACACAGTAAGAGGCAGAGCTATTTTCAGACCTAGTTTGGTTCCCAAGTTGGTGGGTGCTCTCCACCACTGACTGCCTCACCCGGCTTCAAAGTGAGCTGACCTCTGTCTAACCTGCACCCTCTCCTTAGGGAGACAGCGTCACCCGGAAAAGCACAGAGGAGCGGCGAGGGGAGGGGTTACTTTGCAGCCCAGGACCCTCGCGGGGGTGGGAGTGGAGGTGGGGAGCATGCTCCGCAGACTCCTGGTTAGGCTTTCTTCCTGGGAACAGGATTCAGAGGGCTGGGAGCGGAGGACGCTTCCCGTCCTCCCCAGAGCACCGGTTCATTTGAATACAGGTGCTGGGGCTTTGGCCCTCGTGGTAGGCGGAGCGGCGGACTCTCCTTTCTGACACTGGTGACACTGGGTGTGCCTTCCAGAGCGGTGGGGAGTGCGAAGCCGCCATCGTTCGGGAACAAATTGCTGTGTTGGCCCCGGCGGCGCCTCCGGGCGCGGGCGGTAGCCGTGCTCACTTGCAAACCGTGGGAGGCGGAGCGGCGCTGGCAGCGCGAGGCCGGGGACACCGCCGCAGCGGCAGAGCCGAGCAGGAGACTGACTGCTCAGGCCGCCTCCTCCCCAACTCCCCACCCCAGGGGGATGGTCTCCGGGGCCGCCGCACCCCACCTCTGCCAGCTTCCCCTCCAGATCTAAGCCGAGTCCTCGGGGGCTGAAGGGGGGCGGGGAGCGGAGGCGGGGTCTTCCTGAGTCCGGGCTCGCCGGGACCCACGTGCTCGGTGAGGAAGTTTCTAACCCGCGCCTGGAGTCTACCTGCCGGCCCCCGGGGTTTGCACCCTGACCCTCTAGTGCAGCCTGGGAGCGATAGGTGATGAATAATAGAAACATAGGGACAAGGCAAAGGGTCTCGTCTCCCCCCATCCGCGCACACACATGCCTTTTCCACCCCGGAGCGCGCACCGGGGGCGTGTGAACCCTCTTCCCAGGGCTGCCCACCCTCCAGTTTCCCAGGGAGCTCCCGGCTGCAGCGCATCTGCTCTGGATGGAGCGATCCATTTTCCAGGGGTCAAGTAGAGGCTGAGGAAGGCTTGCCTGCCCAGAAGCCGTGTTCAGAACCCACCCACACTCCCACCTGCCTGTAGACTGCCCCTGCACAACGGGAATCCCCCGAGGCGTGTCAACCTCCGCCGACTACCCGGCCTTCACCTGCTGCGCTCGTGCCCCAGCCCCTTTTCCTATGATCATTTCCTCGGGGAAAGCATCCTCTCCCTTCCCTCCCGCCCCCACCCGCCAGCCCCAGCCGCTCCTCAGTCCCCGCTGCAGGGAAAGACGCCTCTCCCCGCGGCGGAGCAGCCCCAGCCGGACCGGCGCCCGCCCGTCGTCCTCCGAGGGGCGGTCCGGGCGGCGTGGGGATCGGAGGGCCGCCGCCTCCCCGGCTCCCACCGAGGTCCCCCGGGGAGGGGTTCCCGCGGTGGGAGTCCTGTCCCTTTAAGGAGGCGGCCCTGCCTGGGTGTGCCTGGTCGCCATGGTTACCCCGGTGCAGGCGGCGGGCGCCCCAGGGAGGGAGGCTGCCGCTTCTCCCCGACAGACGGAGGGAGCTGCGGGGACCCGGCGCCCAGCCGAGCCCGGGCGGGAGCCGCGCTGCAGCTGGAGCCGGAGCCGCGGCCGCCGTTGCGAGCGGAAGGTGCCGGGAGCGCAGCCCGGAGCCCGGAGCCCGGGGTCCGCGGGCGGCCGGGGCGCGAGGGGCCGCGCGCCATGCCCCGGGCCCCGACGGCGGGGACGGCCCCTGGCGCGCGGGCGGCCGGCGGGGCCTGCGAGCCCGGGGCGGGCGCCGTCCCCCGGCAGCTGCGGTGAGGGGCGCGGGGCCCGGCGGGGGGCGGCCGAGCGGGGCGCCCTCCTCCCGCCCTGAGTCCCCGCGCCCCGGAGGGATGGGGCGGGCGGCCGCGGCCGCCTAAGATGCCGGCCATGCGGGGGCTCCTGGCGCCGCAGAACACCTTCCTGGACACCATCGCCACGCGCTTCGACGGCACGCGTGAGTCTCCCTGAGTCCCCCTCCCCGCTGGCTCCTGCGCGGGCGCCCCTCGGTGGGCCGCCTCCCGGCTCCCCCTCCCCCCGCTCCGCCCCCACCGGCTCCGGCTCTTTCCGAGCCCTCCCGCCGCCCCCAGGATTAGAATCAGCACCGGCCCGGGCTGGGTAAAGGGCTGGAGGTCTCCGGGATTGGGGGCGGGATGCCGTCTGTTGGCTGAGGCGCGACCCCAACCCAGTCAGCCTCACCCGTCCCGTCACTGAACCGCACCAACACCTCTACCTCCAACCGGCCGGGTAGCGGGCGAGGCGGGCCCGGCGCTCAGGGACAGCTGCGGGGTGGGGGTTGGCGGCTCAAAAAACAAGATTTAGACAAGATGTTCGCAAACGGAGACAGAGAAGGTGGGACCTGACCGCCTAAACCCACGGAGCCCACTAGCCCCCAAAAGGTAGCTTTGGAGACTACCAGCAAGACTGGGGAAGTTTGGGGAAGGCGACCAGAGCTGCTAGATTGTGGGTTCCTGAGGTCTGAGCACAGGGAAAATCTTGAAAGCCCCCTCCCCACTCCTCCTCCCTCCTGCTCTCCCCCCGCCCCCGTGGGGCTCCCCGTCTCCCTGCCTCGCACCCTCCATAGTCTCCTCTCCCTGATAGAAAGCCGGTGGGAGCCCTTCTTCGCGCCCCCCCCCCCCCTCCATCTGCTTTGTTGTGTGCTTGGCTCCTGCAGCCTGCTGATTCCGCACCCCCACTTCCCAATGCATTTCTGGCTGCAGACTCCATAGTCAGCTCCCATTCTTACATGCTCATCCTGGATCACATGCATTAATTCCTGAGCCAGGGCACCCAGCTGGTGGGGCTCAAACACAGGGCGGCGTGGACGGTGGCCTGCACTGCCTCTCAGTACAGGTGGGGCCCAGTGGGAGGAGCCACGTAGCCAAATCGGGTGCCAGGCCGGAGAGTGAGCCTAGCAGAGGTAGGGTGGGGGCTGAGGCTGGCCTGCAGCTGGTGGTGTGGCCCTCCTGTGAGCCTCCCCAAACCCACCCCTTGCCCCAAGCTGCTCAGGACACACTCCAGAGGGCACAGTGCCCACCCCGGGCTGCATTCACCAGCCTCAGTGTTCCTACGTGCTGATTCTCAAATGCACTCATACACACACTGCAGAGAGTGGGGCACTGACACAGGTGACACACTCATTCCTAGTCACAAACAGTTCCTGCCTAACCCCGTCCACACCCCAACACACACACACGGTTCCTGGGTTTTAGAAAGCCCACCTTTAATGGAAAGGAGGGGTGGTGGGCCCTGAACCTCTTTATCCCGTGCTTCCTCTGAGAGACGCTCTCTTGCAGACAGTAACTTCGTGCTGGGCAATGCCCAGGTGGCGGGGCTCTTCCCTGTGGTCTACTGCTCTGATGGCTTCTGTGACCTCACGGGCTTCTCCCGGGCTGAAGTCATGCAGCGGGGCTGTGCCTGCTCCTTCCTCTATGGCCCGGACACCAGTGAGCTCGTCCGCCAGCAGATCCGCAAGGCCCTGGACGAGCACAAGGAGTTCAAGGCCGAGCTGATCCTTTACCGGAAGAGTGGTGAGGGGCCACCCGGCGCCTCTTCGGTTTTCCCCAGACGGGCACCCCCATCCTTTGTCCCTCCTTTCCATTCTCATCTTCCCCGTCTCTCCATCTCATTCTAACTTCCCACATACCTGCCTCCTCTTCCTCCACCACCCCATCCCTGGCCTCCATTCAGTTTCCCATCTTGGGTTCCCCACCCCAGCAGGAAAATGTCCCAGTGTCAGTAGGACAGACCTGTGAACACACATGTCTGACAGTCACCCCTGCTCTCCCTTGCTTTCTACCACCCTGTTCCATCAAAACGGTCCGAAGCGGAGCGGCTGCCGCCGCCCTCCCGGGTCCCGCTGTGTCTCCCGTGGGTGTCCGTGGAGCCTCTGCCACCGTGGGCAGCGTGGAGCAGGGAGCTGGGCTGAGTCTGTCTTTGTGCCCAGGACTCCCATTCTGGTGTCTGCTGGATGTGATACCCATCAAGAATGAGAAGGGGGAGGTGGCCCTCTTCCTGGTCTCTCACAAGGACATCAGCGACATCAAGAACCGAGGGGGCCCTGACAAATGGAAAGAGACAGGTACGTGCCTGTGGGGCCATTGATGTAACTTCTGTGGCTGGGCTGCTGGTCGCCTCAGGCCTGGGCTGGTGGGCGCCCCACCCACTTCCACTCGCTGACGCCCACTCTGCTGGCTGAGAGGCCTGTGCTGTCTCCTCTCCACATGGCCCGGGATGAAAGCCTGTTTCCAAATAGACTGGTGGCTATACAGTTAGAGTTTTTTTTTTTTTTTTTTTTTTAGTTTTGTTATTAATTCTCACCTGAGGATATTTTTTGTCTTTTTTTTAGAGAGAACAGAAGGGAGGAGAGGAGGGAGGGGAAAGAGAGAGAGACAGAGAGGGGCAGAGAGATGGAGAGAAACATTGATGTGAGAGACATACATTGATTGGTTGCCTCTCACATGTGTCCCAACCGGGCAACCCTATGATCCAGGTGTGTGCCCTTGACTGGGAGTTGAATCCGAGACCTTTAGGTGCATGGGCAGTGAGTGCGCTACCAACTCAGCAACACCAGCAAAGGTGTACAGTTGGAGTTTTGAAGTCAAACTGAATAAGAAATTGAAAGCAAACTCCTTTAGTGCCTGTGAAGTTCCATTTTCTGACCAGTTAGTGAGGCTGAGCACAACCCCCAGCCCCGGGCCTTTTCCTCACATGCCTGCCTGGGGAGCCCTGGCCAGAGCCCTCCTCTGAGTCCTTGCGTCTTGCCCCCTTGGGTCCTCCCAGGGCTGGGGAAGGCCCTTAGACAGCTCACCAAGCTGTTATCCCAACCTCCTCCAAGGCCTCTGCCTCGGGGTGTTGGGTGGTCTCCATTCCTCACTTCCCTCCCTCCCCCAGCCCTTAGCCAGCCTCTCACAAGGTAAGTCCTCGGTGGTCCCTGCACCTGCACCCTGGAGCTCTTCTCTGAGCTTCTGCATCTCTGCCTGATGGCCTTCTGCTTGCTCTGCTCTCCCCCGAACCCCAGGGACCACTCTCCCCTCTGTCCCCTGGCCTTTCCCTGGGGAGAGCCTCAGGCCCTGGGTGTCAGCACCCGTAGGATTGCCCTTTGCCGGGGTGCAAATGATCCCAGGAAGTGAGGCATGCCAGAGCCTCCAGCTCTAAACACACTAGTCAGTGAGCCAGACCTGTCCATGGACCAGCAGCTCGTATCTTACACCCAAGACCATCCGCCGTCGTCCTCATGGGCCCCTGTTCTTTTGCAGGTCGCCGGCGCCGATATGGCCGGGCAGGAGCCAAAGGCTTCAATGCCAACCGGCGGCGGAGCCGGGCTGTGCTCTACCACCTGTCTGGGCACCTGCAGAAGCAACCCAAGGGCAAGCACAAGCTCAATAAGGTGGATTGAGCACCAGGGTGTGCGTCTGGGGGTTGGGCCAGGGTAGAGACAGGCTGAGGAGGTGGAGGGGGGGACTGAGAATGTCCAGGGGACCACATAGGCCCCACTAGTGCTTTGGGATTGTGACTGAGGGGGGGACTGTTATATGCATAATCCCCCCAAAATACAGAGGGGCGTCTTGGCCCTGGGATCAGAGGGGCTTTTGGCTCAATTCTGGCTCCGCTCCTAAACAGCTGTGTGACCTTAGCTAAGTCACCTGACCTCCCTAATCCTCAGTCTTCTGCTCTGCAATGTGGGGACTCACGTGCCTCTATCAGAGGTTACTTTGAGAACGCAGGGAGGGAAAGAAGATGGAAGCCTGTCCTGGAACCTATCCAAACTCAGTCTGTACCCATTTCCTGCCACCCTTCCCGGACCTGTCCTGCCTCACTCAGAAGGTGTTTGGGGAGAAGCCAAACTTGCCTGAATACAAAGTAGCCGCCATCCGGAAGTCCCCTTTCATCCTGCTGCACTGCGGGGCGCTGAGGGCCACTTGGGACGGCTTCATCCTGCTCGCCACCCTCTACGTGGCTGTCACGGTGCCCTACAGCGTGTGTGTGAGCACGGCCCGGGAGCCCAGCGCCGCCCGCGGGCCCCCCAGCGTCTGCGACCTGGCCGTGGAGGTCCTCTTCATTCTCGGTAGGTGCCCTCGGGCTCCATGGGGACAGTCCGCCCGCTTGGCTCCCGTGCCCGGGCCCTCCTCCTGTGTGTGACTTGTGGGCTTTGAACTCAGACCCGGGTTCCAAATGTGTCTCTACCACTTACGGGCTAGGGGACCCTGAGCCAGTCATGGCCTCTCCGAGCCTCAGTGTCTTTCTCCATCAAATGGGCCTAGCGTGTTCCCCTGTTAGAGTGACCACAGGTCACGGGCCCCGGACAGTGTCCGATACCGAGCTGGTGCCCAGCAAAGGTGGCTCCTCCTCGCGCTGACACGAGCCCCCCGGGCCTTGCGCAGACATCGTGCTGAACTTCCGGACCACCTTCGTGTCCAAGTCGGGCCAGGTGGTGTTCGCCCCCAAGTCCATTTGCCTCCACTACGTGACCACCTGGTTCCTGCTCGACGTCATCGCGGCCCTGCCCTTTGACCTGCTGCATGCCTTCAAGGTCAACGTGGTCAGTGTGGCCGGGCAGGGTGGGCTTTGGGGTGGGACAGTGGGGGCTGGCCCCGGAGTGACCTCCCCCCCCCCACCCGCCTCAGTACTTCGGGGCCCACCTGCTGAAGACGGTGCGGCTGCTGCGCCTGCTGCGCCTGCTCCCGCGGCTGGACCGCTACTCGCAGTACAGCGCCGTGGTGCTGACCCTGCTCATGGCCGTGTTCGCCCTGCTCGCCCACTGGGTGGCCTGCGTCTGGTTCTATATCGGCCAGCAGGAGATCGAGAGCAGCGCGTCCGAGCTGCCCGAGATAGGTATTGGGCTGGGAGGGGGCTTTCAAGTGTGCATACGTATGTGCCCAGGAGTGTGTCTACTCGGGGGTATGTGTGTCAGGGAAGTGTGAATGCATGTGTCTCTGTCAGGGCGTGTTTGTGAGCTGGTCAGAGATGTGTAGAAGTGTGCATGTGTGTGTGTGCTTGTGTGCGTGTGTCACAGCAACCTGGGTGCAAGTAGACGTGTGTTTGTGAGAAAAATGTGGGGGTGGTATGTGTCTGAGTGTGCCAGCCATCCCCTCCCAGTCGGCCTGTTCTCCAGCAGCTGGGCCTTGTGGAGAAAGCCTGGTGGGCTGCCGGGAGGAGTCTAATTCACCCATAATGGCCTCCTTGTGGCCAAACTTTTATCACATTCTTCAAGCCCCTGCCCAGTTGGAAAAGGCTATGCAGGGAGCCAGTGCCCTCCGGGGTTCCCCGATGCCTGGCACTTTCCTGGTACCTTCTCTGAAGCTATCCCCAACATCTCGGCTCCTAAGCCTCCTTCCCCGCTCTTGTCACCTCCAGGCTGCCTCTCTCTCACTGCTTCTCAGCCCTCCTCCAGCCTAAAACTCGGTCTTTTTCCACATCCCACCAGTGTCTTCCCTCTCCTTCATTTCACCTCCACTTCCACAACTCCTCCCTCTGCTTACCTCCCACTCACATCTGAACTCCTGCTAGGAGAGCTCCCAGCTCTACTTCTCATCCCAAAACGTCACCCAGATGTCATCCCGCAGGTCACGGCGACCTTCTGGGGCCAGACCCTCATCCCCTTGAAGTCTCTGTAGCACCTGACCCTGCCAAACACGCTCTTTCGAAAGGCTGTCCTCTCTGCCCTGGTCTGGGCCTCCTCCTGCTCCAGCCCTCAGCTCCGAGCTTTCCTCAGAGCTCCCGTCCTCTCGCCTTGTCTCCCTGGCAGTTCTCCTGGCATTGCTACGTGGACATCTTAACTTCTTTTTTTCCTCTCTGACGCCAAACCGTTCTGTCCCGGCCATTTCTAACTCTCCACACTTGCAGCTCCAAAATGTAACACCCCGGTCTTCCTCCCGGCCCTCCAGCCCTCCAGTGATGTTCCCAGTCAGCTGCTCAGACAGCCTGCCATGACTGCCCACTTCTTGGTGGGACCCAGGTTGGCCTTAGAAGCCTCCTCTGGTCTGTTCCCAGGGGTGAGGAGGCTCCTGTGAGTGCTCTCTCCTCAGCCCGGAGAGACGGTGCAGTCAGAGGGCCCCCCTGGACATTCCCCAGGCGCTGTAGTCACTGAGCACACAGGCGTGCTCAGCTCCTCGGCGCCTGCCCTCCCCAGAGCGGGCTGTGTGGAGGCTGCTTTGGGTTCAGACGGCCATTCAATGGGCATACAGCCAAGAGATGGATAACGGGGACACGAAGGCTGACCCTGAAGTGGGCTGAGACACCGAATTCCTGGTCCGCCCCTCCGTCCCCAAAGGGGACCCAGGCGCCCTGGTCTTGGTCCATGTGGCTCTCTTGTCCTGGCTACTTCACAGGGGCTGAGGAGCCGACATTGGTAACTCTTTTGGCTCCCAGAGGGCTCTGCAGCCAACAGGGAGGGCTGGTGATGTGAGGGCTGGCGGATTATTTGTAGATGTACCTGGCCGTTCTTGTACCCTTGAACCTTAGGTTCCAGAGTACTTTTGTTCTATTTGGGGCTGGCACTGGTTCTCATCTGGGTTGTTTCCAAGTTCTTCAGGTCATCACCTCCACCTTCTTCGTCCAGGGAAACTACCCCAACCTGGGGTGGAGCCACAGCCAGACTCCCAAAGCCCAGCCCTGCTGGCCCAGCTCTGTCTGCAGGAGGCACCTTCCTGTGGCTTCCCTGCCTTGGGTCCCCTGTTCCACTGCCCGTGGTGCGGACACAGAACTCCTGCCCCAGGTTCCCATGAGCCCAGTGGAGATGAGCTGGATTTTCACAGGGCTGTGCTCAGTCCTGAGGGACTCACTCAGGCCTCCAGCCTCCAGAACAGACTCTGCTGGCCTGACTCCCCGTCTGGAGGCCCCACCAGGATGAGGAGAGGCTCCTCTGCCACCCCACCCTGTGCTGCTGCTTCTCCCCCGCCCCTGACCCCCCACCCTCCTCGCCTGGCCACTGGCTTCACCCAACTAATGACAAAGAGTTCTGCGTGCTCCCCTGCATTCTCACAGAGCACCTCAAGTGACAGGAGGGGGCGTCTCACCTTGGCTCAGGCCTTCTCACAGCCCCCCAAATTTCTTGGTCTGGAATTTGATGCCACTGTGTGTTTCCATCTTGCTCATGTCTTTCCCTAGATCAGGAATGACCTCTCCACCTCAGTTTCTTTGTATCAAAACTCTGTCCATCCTCTAAGACCAAGGTCAGATGTCTCCTCTCCCAGGAAGCCCTCTAGCCGTGGCCCATAGATGTTGGTTTGCGCCCCGTCGTGTGGCACTCTGAGGCGCAGCTCCTGCCCTGCAGGAAGCTCCTGTGGGACCCGCAGCTCCTGGCCCCGCGAGGGCTGCCGAATGAATGAATGGGTGGGTGGGTGAGAGGAGGAGAGTTGGGATCGTGGGGGGGCAACATGTGTAAGGTGTGTGGGAGAGTGTGGAGCAGGGGGACTAGGGTGTTGAGGTGGGAGGGGGAGGTGCCTGTGGAGAGGTAGGTCCCTCTGCTCCCCCCTCCTGCCAAGGGGAGCCCGGAGAGTGTGGGGTTGATGGGAGATGGGGATGATCTTGGCCTCCACCCCGCCCACCAGGCTGCTCTGTGTCTGCCTGTGTGCAGAGGGCCTCTGGTGTGCACAGGTGCCTGCACAAGTATCCTCACCTTGTGCTTGTATCCGTGCGAGTGTGTCCCCTCCCCAACTTAGGCACCAGTGTGCAAGCACCTGTGCAGCCTGTGAGTGGCGTGGCGGTGCCTCTGTGGACGTGCTCACATGTGTGTGCCCTTGCCCCCCTGACTGGGAGCACGTGGATAGCCTCGGTGGTGGTTATGTGCATACCCATGTCGCTGTGCTTGAGAGTGTGTGTGAAGTTGAGTGGAGTGTGGGGTTCTGGGCAGGGATGAGGCAAGTTCAAAGATGAGTGGACAGGGCAGAGGAAGTGGCCTCACCCATCCAGCCCTGGGACAGTGGTCTGGGGTTAGTGCCAGCCGTGGGGAGAGGGGACAGTGCTCCTTACTCCATCCTCGGCACCAAGAGACGCCAGCGGGGGAGATGGCAGCCTCGGCCTCAGCCTCGTGTGCTTGTCTTGCTGAGGGCCGGGGTGCTGGGGAGGAGAGCACTGGGCGGGCAGAGGAGGACGGTGGAGGGAAACCATGTGGTAGATCTCCCCGGGCTACCAGCAGGCATGCCCGCACGCAAGCGTGGCATACTGTCCTGCTGACCCAGGCCCCCTGCCCCCTTCCCAGGCTGGCTGCAGGAGCTGGCCCGCCGCCTGGAGACCCCCTACTACCTGGTGGGCCGGAGCCCGGCTGTAGCGAACAGTTCCGGCCAGAGTGACAACTGCAGCAGCGAGGCCAACAGCACGGGGCTGGAGCTCCTGGGCGGCCCGTCACTGCGCAGTGCCTACATCACCTCCCTCTACTTCGCGCTCAGCAGCCTCACCAGCGTGGGCTTCGGCAACGTGTCTGCCAACACGGACACGGAGAAGATCTTCTCCATCTGCACCATGCTCATCGGGGGTGAGGCCTGCCTTCTCTGGGACCCCTCCCAGACTTCTGGCCCAGGGGGCCCCTCCCTCTCCACCTCTCCCAGATCCCCAAGGGTCTTCCCAGAGGTCCTTCCATTTTAGGGGCCCAAGGAGCTTGAGGCCAAGGCCAGGAGAGCCCACTGGCTGCAGGCCTCCCTGCCACACAGCACAGCCCTGTGCCTTTCCTAGGAGCCTGTGCAGGATGGGGGAGGGGGGTACACAGATGTGTGCAGTGTGGTGTCAGTCAGGCTGGGCAGGCCGGTGACCCCCTCTCGCCACCCTCCCCAGCCCTGATGCACGCAGTGGTGTTTGGGAACGTGACGGCCATCATCCAGCGCATGTACGCCCGCCGCTTTCTGTACCACAGCCGCACCCGCGACCTGCGCGACTACATCCGCATCCACCGCATCCCCAAGCCCCTCAAGCAGCGCATGCTCGAGTACTTCCAGGCGACCTGGGCCGTGAACAACGGCATCGACACCACAGAGGTGCGCAGGCCTCCGGCTGGCCCTTCCAGCCTCGCTCCTCCAGGGGGTGTGCAGCTGCTCCGAGGCTCTTGGGAGCGGGCTGGGGAGCAGGGAACGCAGAATTCTGGCCTCCCTGCCTTCGCGCTCTCCTGGGGAGGGCTGGGGGACAGCAGCAAGGGGCAGAGGGCAGCCAGGAGGGCTTGGAGGCCCCTCTCCACTCTCGTTAGGCCTGGAGGAGGAAAGCTGGGCTCTCATGGAGGGGCTGGAGTGACTGAGAGGGAGGCAGAGAGCCCCTCCATGGCCTGTTCCTGTGGGGCAGGTTGGACTGCCTCCCTTTCTGCCACCCTAGCCCTTTCCTCTGCTCCCCACTGGCAGCTGCTGCAGAGCCTTCCTGATGAGCTTCGGGCAGACATCGCCATGCACCTGCACAAGGAGGTCCTGCAGCTGCCGCTGTTCGAGGCGGCCAGCCGGGGCTGCCTGCGGGCGCTGTCCCTGGCCCTGCGGCCCGCCTTCTGCACGCCGGGCGAGTACCTCATCCACCAGGGCGACGCCCTCCAGGCCCTCTACTTCGTCTGCTCCGGCTCCATGGAGGTGCTCAAGGGTGGCACCGTGCTTGCCATCCTAGGTTCGTGAGGGCGGGGGAGAGGGCTTGTGGGAGGCAGATGGCCCATGGGCAGAAAATCCAGAGAGGGGGCCCAGGCAAGGCCGCCTGGAGAGAGAGCCCGGATGGAGCCGGGAGTAGCCACGGAGCAGCCATGCAGCTCAGCATGGGCCTGGTGACCATAAGGTGGCCGCCGAAGGAGGTGGAACCGATTTAGAGGTGTCAGAGGCCAGAGTGAGTGGAGGACCAGTCAGTCTTTCGCATGTGATGGGCGACGGGTGAGCAGCACTTTCTGACCAGGAGGAAATTCATTGCGGAGGATTTAAGCTGGAGAGTGTTCGGGGAAGGCTGGGGAGGTTATCTTTGTGGGCCTCCCGCCACCATCCGGGGAGAGAGATGCCACTCCCCCAGGGCAGATGACAGCAAGCCCGGGCCCGGAGCGATGACAGCAGAGCTCAGACGCAGCGTGTGTACTCCTTTCTGGGAAAAGGACAGAGGTGAAGAGGAAGGATCCACTTCCTAGACAAGGAAGAAGAAGCTGCAGCTATGGAATCAGCATCATAATAGTGCTGACTCCGGGGTCTCACAACCGGGCCAGCTTGCACCTTCCTCTCAAGCAAACCTCAAAACCCAGGGGGAGGAAGTGTTGTCATTTCTATTTTACACAGAAGGGGACAGAGGTTAATGAGCTGACAGGCTGGCTTAGCGCTCGTCTGCACACAGCTGTAACCTCGTGCTCCGCACACTGTGCTGCCCGGCGCTCTGCTCTGCGGAGACTGCTCTGAGGAAAGGGCTTTGCTTCAGGAGACCCTGACGTGCAGCACATCTGAGCATCCGTGAAACACGGCAGCTGGGCTGTGAGAGTCTGCCTGCAGTGACCCCAGAGGGCCTTGCACACGGGAAGGGACTGGACGGAAAGGAGGTGGCGCCCTAACCACAGCCGAATCCTCAAGCAGCCAAGCACTTGTAGGCTCTCTGTGGGGACAGTGCTGCCTGGAGCAGCTGCGGTGTGTATCATCTGGAGAACCAGGATGACCAGATGCCGGCAGCTACTATGTGTCCGTCCTTTCCCCCTCGAGGGAACAGGTCTTGGAACTGAGAGAGGGAGAGGCTGCTTCACCCTTCACCTGTGTCAATCCTGAGTTTGGCTTCGGGGCCAGATGCAGTTCCTGCCAGGACTCTGAGTAGACAGAGTTAATGGCTGCTCACATGTGTCTGTCAGTCCTTGAGAACTTGTGGGAACTGGAGAGATTACAAGCGTGAAAAGACAGATTTTTAAAAAAATATATTTTATTGATTTTACACAGAGAGGAACTGAGAGAGATAGAGAGTTAGAAACGTCGATGAGAGAGAAACAGCGACCAGCTGCCTCTTGCACACCCCCTACTAGGGATGTGCCCACAACCAAGGTACATGCCCTTGACCGGAATCAAACCCGGGACCTTTCAGTCCGCAGGCCGACGCTCTATCCACTGAGCCAAACCGGTCTCGGCTGAAAAGACAGATTTTGATCATTGCAGACTGGTCACCCCAAAGCAAGATTGTCAAATGGATTATTAAACAGATGGCTTCAGCTCGCAACGAGGAAGCAGTGTGGCTGGGAGCTGGCACCGGTCCTGCAAGAACACGTCTTCACTGATGCCAGGCACCAGGCTCAGAATAGCCACGTTCAGAATTGAGACGGAACCTCAAGAATGACCACCGCCTTCACCCCAGGCCTTTGCCTCCAGAATGTCCCCAGCACCGGGACTTATTTCACCTTTGACCTGTCCTGCCCCTGCCCATATGTTCCAAATGATCCATTTCCTCTGTTGACTTGGCCGCTGTGGGTGCCCGGATAATGCCTGGTTCCCCGTGGCCTGGTTTGCTGCCTTGCCTTCCTCCAACCTCCCACCTGCTTCCTTAGTTGAACATCCAGTGCCTCCTGCCTGCTCCTGGCAGCTAAGGCCCACCGTTCATCTCGCAGTGTCAACTCCGGCCCCTCCCTGGGCGTGTGAACCAACAGCTAAGCATGTGCAAACTCCGCTGCGGGGGAGGAAGAAGGCAAGCCAAAGAGGTGGGTTGGACTGTGGTGTCAGGAGGATCTTGATGAGCTTGAGCGGGAGGCTCTGCTGAGCTGCCAGCCTGGAGGGTGGTCGCTGGTCCCTGAGACCAGCGGCACCAAACTCTGTCCTTGCTCCTGACCAGTTTCTCATTTTTATCTCACCTCCTGGATGAAGACAAGAAATATACACTCATTCTATTTCCAGATGACACCCACGAGGAGAGAGAGCTCATTCATCAGATGATCCAAACACTGAGGTCCAAACAGCTCTCAGAAGGAACTAGAAGGATGGCCTGATATCAAGAGAATAAGATTTATCAGTGATGCATTCTAGTCTTAAGTTTGAGCAAAAGTCCATGAGCATTTCGGGCTCTGCCGGCAGCACGAGGCAGCCCGCGGCGCGGGTGGCAGCGGTCCACCTTCCCGCAGGAGAAGGAAAGGCTTCCTGATCGTGTGGACGGACCGGCTGTGGCTGAGCTGGCTGTGAGGGCAGCGAGTGCCCCGTGCATTCCCGGATGGCGCACCGTCCCCGTTGGAAGGATCTACAGGGGACTCTTGTGGGCAGGGGAGGAAAGGAAATGAGTTTTGATTGATGGTCCATATGTCAGGCACTTCATCTCCGCTAACTGATTTAATCTTCACCACATCCTGGTTCAGAGACACCGCATTTCATTGATTCCAAGACATACATTTCCCCGCCACCATTTAACATTCCTGAGATTAGGAGACAGATTTACAATCACTGTCAGCCAGGTGGCAGAGTCAGCAGGTGGTGGGGAACTCTTCATTGACACCTGCTGGTAAGATCAAGAAAGCACCACAGCCTCAGTTCAATGCAGGATCTGTTGTAGAGACAAGGCGTCAGGGCTCCCCGTACACGACTGCCTGGCATTTTCACGGCCACGTGGGCTGCTAACCTGCTGGTTCCACAGTGTTCCCGGCTAAGCTACACCCGAACCAACTGTGAGGCTGGAAAACATCGGATTGGGGGTCACCCGTGGATACCCTGATTCTGTAGATAGGAATGAGGCCTGGGAGTCTGTTTTAACTTCCCCAGAGCATGCTGATCCTGGGGCATGCCTGGAGCCACTGGAATTGGTGACTGCTCACTGGTCTCAGGTAAATTTTGGATGTGTGTCAGCACAGTGGCTTTGACCCCGTGTGCTGGAGCACCTGGGTCACAGTGTTCAATAATAGTACCTTAAGTTAGTTGTTAGCTGTGAAATATAGCCATCAGCTACCAGAGAAGCCTTTCTTTCCCCAGAATCTCTCTTACAGAGAAGGGATCAACAAACTGTCTATAACGGCCCCTCTGTGCCTCTCTGTCCTGGCCCCACAGAGGGGGTCTGGCTGGAAAGCCCCCAGCCCGTGAGGAAAGCTCAGCAGCCTCCATTTGACTTCCCTCATCGAGGCCGAGGGGCAGGCTCACTGACCTCTGCCTCCTCTCCCCAGGGAAGGGCGATCTGATCGGCTGTGAGCTGCCCCGGCGTGAGCAGGTGGTCAAGGCCAATGCCGACGTGAAAGGGCTGACGTACTGCGTCCTGCAGTGTCTGCAGCTGGCTGGGCTGCACGAAAGCCTGGCACTGTACCCCGAGTTTGCCCCTCGCTTCAGCCAGGGCCTCCGAGGGGAGCTCAGCTACAACCTGGGTGCCGGCGGAGGCCCCACGGAGGTGAGGGTGCTGGGTACGTGCATGGAAGAGGCGGGGGTGCCAGGGGGCCTGGGGAGGTGAGCAGAGGCTGGGGTTTGGGAGGTGCTGTGTTAGTGCATGGCCTGGATGAACACCCCCACACATGGTAGGGGTCTACACTCTCCCTGCCCCTTCACACCCACACTGTCCTTTAGCGCCGCTCCGTTTTCCCTGGCCCACCTCAGACAGCCGGGCCCCCAGAGCGAGGTCTTAGGGGAGCCACCGAGCCCACTGGTCCCAGAAGAGGAGCCCATAGCCTAAGAGGAGGGATGGCGCCACAGGGCAGGGCGGCAGCCACACACAGCCCGCCACCTCTGACAAAAGCCCTGCATCTGTCCTGCTTCTTCACAGTGAAATAAAGCTGCTCAGAGGGGCTTTTGAACTTTCCTGACTTAGGACACAAATTCCAAACCAGTTTTTAGTACCTTGTTCTCAGATAGCTGTTAGCCTAAGGCACCAAGCCACACGTGGCCAGAATTTTGAGGGGCTGGTGGCTTGTGCCAGCAGGAAAGCAGCCCTTCCACCCTCCAGCTGAGCTTCTTCCTCAGCAGGGTGAGGTGGGGGGTGGGGGAGTGAAAGGAGCATAAGATAAGCCCAGTCCCCTGTCCCCCACTGTTCCCAGGTGGACACCAGCTCCCTGAGTGGCGACAACACCCTCATGTCCACGCTGGAGGAGAAGGAGACAGATGGGGAGCAGGGCCCCGCGGCCTCACCGGCCCCCGCTGACGAACCCTCCAGCCCCCTGCTGTCCCCAGGCTGCACCTCCTCATCCTCAGCCGCCAAGCTGCTGTCCCCGCGCCGAACTGCACCCCGGTCCCGTCTAGGTGGCAGAGGGCGGCCAGGTAGGGCGGGGGCGGAAGCTGGCCCCTCTGCACACCCTCGGAGCTTAGAGGGGCTGCAGCTGCCCCCTGTGCCATGGAATGTGCCCCCGGACCTGAGCCCCAGGTGAGCAGGCGCTGGGCCACTACACTTGGGCAGAGATAGTGCTGATAGGACTAGGGCCCCGGCCACTCACACCCCTGCCCTGGGTGCCCATCCCTGCCTCCTCATCCTCCCAGCCTCCTCCAGGAAGCTTTCCCTGACTCCCCCATTTCCCTGCTGCCTCTCCTCTCCCCCATTCATACAACTACACACTCGGACCAACTACACCTCCGGTGTTCCCATACCCCCCATTCAGAACTCGGCTCAGAACTCTCCTGCTGTTGAATGTCTCTCATTCTTGGATCCCCAGCGAAACTGCAATCTCCTAGGAGAAGGGACCTCTCTTATTACCTTTCTCTTGGGGTCCCAAGCCCCTGTCCCGGCTCCAGGGTCCTGTAACTTCTTTATGAGGACACTGGGATATCTTGTCCCAAGAAACACCGCAGTGGCTACCTGTCGATTTATTGTCCCGGTGCCTGTGTCCACAGGGTAGTAGATGGCATTGAGGATGGCTGTGGCTCCGACCAACCCAAATTCTCCTTCCGCATGGGGCAGTCAGCCCCGGAATGTAGCAGCTCTTCCTCCCCTGGACCAGGTACTGGGACCAGTGCTTGGGGGAAGGTTGGCAGGGCCCTCCCTTTGCCCTGTGAACCTCAGAAACTAACCGGACACAGAGGCTGCTAGAAGCCCTCCCCTCACCCCCTGCATGAAACGGGCAGGGAGTCTGGTGGTTAAGCACTTGGTGGTGGAGGCTGGCTGGGGGGGTTTGGATCTCTGCTATCAGCGCTCTAGCAGTGTGACCTTGGCTCAGCTTCTGGTTTGTAAAATGGTTGTGTGCCTGTTAAATAAGACAATGTTGCTAAGGCCCCTCGCTCATTTTTTTGGCTCACTGGCAGGGCAGAGGGCTGAGGCAGAGTTAAAAATGGCCCCAGCCAAGCCATGAGCCCTGGGTGTGGACCAGGTAATGAGCTCCCAGGAGTGTCCCTGTCCCTGGAGGACAGAACAAGAGCAGGCACAGAAAGCAGCTTGCTGAGAAAGCACGGGGCAGGGAGTCTGAGGCTCCCTGGCAGTTTGGGCAGAACTCATTAACTTGGGCCCTTTCTGTACTAACTGGGGCAGAGGCCTGGACCCTGGCTAGTAACCTCATCCTACGGTCCACAGAGAACAGCCTGCTTACCCTCCCCCTCGGACCCAGTGAGGCGAGTAACACAGACACGCTGGACAAGCTTCGGCAGGCTGTGAGTGAGGGGGGAGTGGAGGGAGGGCAGGGAGATGGCTGTTGTGTAGGTCCTGACTCCTCTCTGACCTTCCCTCTTCCCTCCGTGAAGGTGACGGAGCTGTCTGAGCAGGTGCTGCAGATGCGGGAGGGACTGCAGTCCCTGCGCCAGGCCGTGCAGCTCCTCCTGGCGTCCCATGGGGAGGGCCCGTGCCCTCAGGCACCAGGAGAAGGGCCACGCCCAGCCGGCACCTCTGGACTCCTGCAGCCTCTGTGTGTGGACACGGGGGTGTCTTCCTACTGTCTGCAGCCCCCAGCTGGTTCTGTCTTGAGTGGGACTTTGCCCCACCCTCGTCCTGAGGCCCCTCCCCTCATGGCACCCTGGCCTTGGGGTCCCCCAGCATCTCAGAGCTCCCCCTGGCCTCAAACAACAGCTTTTTGGACCTCCACCTCTGACTCAGAGCCACCAGGCTCAGAACTCCGCCCAGAGCCCAGCACCCCCGGCTCGCCGCCTCCTGAGGAAGAGGCGAGGACTGAGCCCCTGGATCCTGGGAGCCAGGCCGAGGCTGCCAGCACTGGAGAGCCCCCGCCAGGGTCAGGGGGCCTGGCCTTGTCCTGGGAACCCCACAGCCTAGAGATGGTGCTTATTGGCTGCCACGGCCCTGGCACGGTCCAGTGGACCCAGGAAGAAGGCACAGGGGTCTGACTGCCAGCACCAGAACTCATTGTTGCCAGATATGCTGCCGTCTGCTGCTTTGCCCAACCTCGGGGTACAGGAAGGGTGGCAGCCAGCCCCAGGGACTCCAAGCTGCCTGCTGGCTCAGGGCAGGAGCCTGCGAGCCAAGAAGGCCTGGCCCTGGGCTCTCGTGGAGGGGGGCTGGAGCCTCAGGGACAGGCCCCAGCTAGTAATGCTCTGGCCCCTTCTTGTGGGTCCCCTCCTCAGCCTGCTCCTCCGACCTCCTTGTCTCCCTCTGCAGCTGGTAGACAGAGGCCTCAGGCCAAGGAGGGAGGTTCTGCCGTCCCTGCATGTGCCCCTGACTCCCCTATCCCACATTTTTATATTAAAAAGTAATAATGAAAGAAACTACTTTGGAACTCAGTGCTTTTTATTTACAAAAGGAAAGTAATACAGTAAAAGTCTGTAGCTAGTCAGCTTGGAGACACGGCTTAGGAATCTGGGATGAAGGAAGGTAGTCTGCTGAGAGGGGCGCTGGCTCTACGGGAGCTGCAGAGTCCCAGCCTCCAGGGGTTCCTGAGGGCCAACCCCAAACCCTCTCCCCTGCCTCACCCCAGCAAAGGCTCAGATCAATGGGCTGTCAGTGGGGTCTCTCGCTACCCACTCTGGTTTTTCCAGGAGCCCAAGTTCCCAGCTCTAGGTAGGGAGCTGGAATGGCAGGGGAAACTGAGGCCAGAGAGCCCACGGGTCCCGCCACCACACCTCACTGTGGGGTGATCTTGGCAGCCTCAGCCCGGATAAGGGCAATGAGGTCCTGGTTGATGAGGAAGACGAATCGCAGGCTGGCAATCTGTAAGCAGGAGAGAGGGGTGGCTGAGGACAGAGGTGGGACTGGAAGCCAGGCCCACATAATGGCTCACCACACCCCAGGCAGGTCCCACTGTGGCCTCTACCTCCCTCCCCGCTCACCTCTACCACGGAGTTATTGCTGAGGCGCCACTTGGAGCCGCACAGCACCGGCCGGCCGTCGATGTAGATGGGCCGCCGGCCTTCATTGGCAATGAAGAAATCACCGTTGTTTTTCAGTTTGATGACACCTATGAAACAGAAGAAAAAGAAGATGGTGTGGGGAAGACCAGAAAAGAGCCCAAAGCCCCCTGCACCCTTTCTGATTCCTTGGGGTGGGCTAGAAGGCACCTAGGACTCCCAGATTAGAGATCTTGAAATGCCAGCTCATTCATGACAGTTTCCGAAGAGACCATGCCCCAAGGCTGCAGAGGGCAGCGAGAAACCAGGAGAGAAAGCCTCACTGCTTCCTGTTGGTACCTTGCTTCCGGGAGATCTTCCAAGCTGGACCCTCCAGAGACAGGTCCACGTCAATCTGGTTATCCTTGGTTGCCCTCCCCAAGGTGATCTGGGGAAATACAGCAGGTGAGAGCTAGCAGCTGAGGATTGGGGTTGGGCCCACACAGGCCAGGGGAAGATGAGAAAGCAGGGACCAGACACAGAAAGGGAATGATGGGAAGACTGATGGAGAAGGGAAACAAGAATGGCTGGAGCTGGGCCTGCCTTACCTCCCTCGAGCGCATCAGATACCGCACCATGCGGCCCCGCAGCACTGCCAGCGTCTGGTTGTCGAAGTCTGGAGAGCTCATGCCTGGGGAAGGAGCAGCTTGTGAGGGGGAGAGCCACCCTTTAGGGCTACAGGGCAGAAGACAGGGAGCCAGGGCAAGGTCTACTGAGGGAAAGGAAGATACACCTAGCCAGGCAATCAGGCGCCCAGGGTGGGGTGAAGAGAGAAGGGCCCCTCCTGGTCCCCTGGCCTCCTCACCTGTGATGCTATCCACGAGCACCTGCCACTTATGCAATTCCTGTTCCAGCTGACGAATCTCTCGCTTCTGGCGCCGGTCAGCCACTGTCAGCTCTGGGGTGAGTTGGGGTAGTAAGGAGGGACACACCAAAGTCACCAGCACCTAGTACTGGTCCTCTCTGTCCAGGCAGAAGCGCCCACCCCCTTGCTGTCCCCACCAGGGCACACTCACCATGTTCCAGGACCTCATCTCGCATGTCCCTGAGAGGGGAAAAGAGAAGAATGAATGAGGTTCCACGCCCAGCTCACTTGCCATCACCATCAGGTAATCCTGGCTCATTAGGACCTCCCTCAGCCAGTTAGCCCAGCGGTCCAGGAGGCTGCTCTCTGGTCTCCGCCCAGCCCTCTTCCTGGGGGGATGGGGGTGTAAGATGCTGTGGGAGTGTGAGGGATGAGCAGAAAGACCAGGTGCCAATCGCTACAGCTAGAGGCTGACACTGGGCTGGCTGTTCTCTGCAGCAGGAGCGGTGACCTGAGCACTCTGCCCCAGGGGGAACATGGTTCTCTGCACCCCGCCTGTGGCCCCAGCTACTCACTTGAGCTTACTGTCATCAATCAGGTCCTCTGCATCGGAGAAGTTGAGCACCTGGTCCCCCTTGGGCAGCGGCTGCACTGAACAAAGGACAGAGGGAGGGTCAGCACCGATGCTACTACCAACCTCCAGCTGCTGAGCAGACTCTGAATGTGGGGACACACTGTACAGACTGAGCCTGTGGGATCAGCTCGTGCTGAAATGAACAAAAGTTAATCCATACAGGTACCGGAGTGCATGTCAGATCAGGCTGCCTGCTAATTTGGCACAAAGCATGCCTGGGGTTGCTTCTGCAAAGGGAAGGGAATTAAGTTTGACCTTTCGTGTGGGCTTTTCTGGTGTGTGAAGGGCTCTCACACAGCCTTGAACTACTATAAACAGAGAAGGCATTTTCTGCTGCTGGTGCTGAGGCACTAGCCCATTTAGAAAGGATGTGCTAAAAGGAGTTACCTTACCCTAACCAGTGTTTTTCAACTGTGAGTTGTACGGTGTTAATGAGTTGTGAAATTAGTTTCATTTTTTCCAAAAATGAGATGGACATAGGACAATATCAGAGCCCATTAGATATGTTCAGGATAAATATTGTTTCATGAAAGTTTCTCAGGTTTTTTTTTCCTAGTCAAAATGTGAAAGGGACCCGGGCCTCCAAAATCTGAGAACTTCTGCCGTAAGGCTGGCTGTTCCCACAATTGCGAGTGTCTGTTCAGTAGCAGCTCCATTAGCTAGAGGCTGTGAAACTGTCAGTTGAGGAGTTTGACAACACTGGGTGTCCTCACCGCCTGTCCAACTTCCCTCCACCAGCACACCGGCCTCCTTAGGTCAGATTGTGTGGGGAGATGGGGTGGGGTGGTCACTGCCACCAAGTTCCTCCCTGACCACAGCTGCCTGAAATTCCACTACCCTACTATTCAACTGACTGAACAACTAAGCAGTGTGCATTCCCTGTTCCTAGGGGCTCCTAGTTCTAAACAGCAAAGAGAAATCAAATACCCACGTAAGAACTCTTGGAGAGAAAATAAATTTATCCAGGATCCATTCTCTGTGGGAATTCTGTGATATTTGGGCCGAAGGAGTGGGCTGCCCGTTGGGCATGAAATTCAGAGATCCTTAGGGAAGAACAATGGGCCTCCTCCTGACAAGATTTCTTAAAATCCTCTTGTAGGAATGTCTTTAAATAGCCAGAGCTGCAGGACCCAGATGGTAACGTGAAGGGCATGACAAAAGTTTCCTTTTCACAACAATGTGAACAACAATGTAGAAGGCAACAACAATAACATTTAGGAAGAAAGAGCAGCGTGTGCTGCATTATGCAAGTCTGACCCTGAATCTCAAATCCACTGAAGCGTTTCCTGCAGTTTAATCAGACTGCTTTCCTGATCTGTCACTAGGAGTGAGTTTTACTGCTGAGGGAAGAGATGGAGGGGGAGCATTCTGGCCCTTGGGGAAGAAGGACAAAAGGATGGGTGTGAAGTTCCAGTGGGGGTTCTGAATGGCAGCACTGACTGTTGGTGGGAGGAAAGGCAGTGAGTGAAAGGAGAAGAGAGGGAAGGGTATCATTTCTTGGGTGAGAAATGGGAAAGGATGAGCATTGAGGGAGATGTTCACATTTTGCTCATACTTGAATATTATTCATGAAGATTATATTAACATATTACTTATCCTATATAATCAAGAGGTGATATGCAAAATCGACCCTCACGCCCCCACGTCCTGAGATGGCTGCCCCCACAAGATGGCCACCCTCATGTCATCACAAGATGGCTGGCAAGAGAGGGCAGTTGGGGGTGACCAGGCCCCCAAGGGAGAGCAGTTGGAGTGATCGGGCTGGCAGGGGAGGACAGTTGGGGGCAACCAGGCCTGCAAGGGAGGGCAATTGGGGGTAATCAGGCCAGTAGGGGAGGGCAGTTAGGTGTCAATCATGCTGGCAGGGGAGTGGTTAAGGGGCTATCAGGCTGGCAGGCAGAGTGTTTAGGGGCAATCAGGAGCCAGGCAAGCAGACGAGTGGTTAGGAGCCAGCAGTCCCAGATTGTGAGAGGGATGTCTGACTATCAGTTTAGGCCCGATCCTGCAATCAGACATCCCCAGAGGGGTCTCAGATTGAAGAGGGTGCAGGCTGGGCTGAGGGACACTCCCAGTGCACAAATTTTGTGCACTAGGGCTCTAGTGTAATTATAAAATGCCAAAAACCAAACAAAACAACCAGAAATGATAGACATTTTGCCCAGGATTCCAAGCAATTTTGGCTGAAATTACCCTTGCCATGAAACTGAAGACCATTCCAGCTACTGTCCCACCCTCTAGAAGGATCTGGTTCTTGCTGCAAAGAGAGGCGAACCAGACATTGGAAGCCACTGAGGAACTTATTACAGGGCACATGAAGGCAACTGTGCCCAGAATACTCACACATGCATACCCACTCTGCCAGTTCATGGGCCAGTTACCTGTCTGGTCCTCCAGCAGGTAATACTGCTTCATGAGCTGCCAGTGTGCCTGCAGAGCCTTGGCAGTACGGGCCAAGTAGAAGGCATCAGGGTGTCTGTGCAGCAGGTCCTGGAAGGTCTCTAAGGTGGGCTGGCTGGTCTGGAAGGCAAGAGGCATGTGTTCTCTAGGCACGTAGGTTTTCTCATTCCTGCCTTTCCACCCCACCCTTGCCCACCCCCAAGCCCATTCCCACCAGGAGCCGGAAAAGCTATGGCTGTCCGGGGAGCCAGGCTCGCCTCTTCCTGAGTACCCGTCCACAAGTTGTGTGGATCTGCAGGAGCATGTCTCCAGGCAGCAGGGCAGATGTCTCCAAACATCAGTTTTCTAGTTCAGCAGTCTCCAGCTGGTGGTCCGTGAGGTCCGAAAGGTTGGCGACCGCTGTTCTACTTAGTCCAGCTCCCGCCCTGCCCAGCCCCTTCATCAACCTTACTAGACCCCATCCTTACCGATCCCACTCTGCTGAGCAGCTGTTCCTCAGCCTTGCTGAACAGGGCCTTGCTCTGGATGGCGGCTATGGCCTCTGGGTGTAGCTGCCTCATTGCCTGGCAGGCCAGCCTAGGTAGGCAGGTAGGAGACAGGTCAGGGCAGTGTTGACGAGAGGGTGTTAAGCAATCTAAGGTTCCTATTTTCCCCAAACCCTGAGATGTGGGAGGAGAGGCCAAGGCTTAGCATGGTCTCATGGGTTTGTCCAAAGTATGAACAGGCAACTCAAGAAACAAGTCCCTGTGTTCAACCCAGTGAAGGCACAGCCCCCGTGGGGCCAGTCCCAAGGAAGATCCTAAATCCAGCTGAGGCTCTCTCGCCAAGACCTTTGTCCTTATGGGCCAAAGCTGCCACCCATTAGCCACTGCCCATCATTTCCTCTTTCTCACACTGAGCCCTGTCTGTTTCCTGGTATATCAGGGCCACGGCTAAAGCTTAAGCAGTGCCAGCGGCTATGGAGTAGAAAACAGGTGTTAAGCATCGCACAAATTTGGATGACATTAAGTGAAGTAACTGAGGAGGAAGAGTGTGTGGTGCATGTGTGCACAGGTTTATTTGGAACTTGGGGTGCTAAAATAAGAGGGAATTGTGGGTGATCTGTGTGGAAAGGTTGGGAAGTGTCTTGCCACAAACCACAATGCACAGTGGTAGAACAGAGCTCGCCTCACTCATTTGGGTGTTTTCTCCTTTTCTACTTCCTTGACTTCTAGATCCCCTTGCTCCTGATGCCAAGCCAGAACTAGCAGGCTTGGCAGCAGGAAGAAACTTCCCTCTAAAGCCTGAGGATGCTAGGGCCCAGGAGCCCTAACTCCCAGACCCCCTCTTTGGGCCCCTCCCCAACAACCTCTCTGGGCCCTCATGCAATTCTCTTTGTTCCAGGGGCCACATTCTGGTATCCCCAGTAATTCTCCACTGCCGGAGCAGCCCCACTCACTTGGAGATGACAGGATCGTAGAGCAGGGCGTACCAGCGCTCCTGGACTTCCCGAAGGGTGAAGCGGCAGCTGAACTTCACACCCAGGTGGACCGACGTCAGGTCATTGGTCTGCAAGGCCCCAGAGGGTTTGCTTCAGCCTTACTGCTGGAAAGAAACCCTTCCCTTGCCACCCACGGGGCACACCGGGGCTAGCTGGGGGACTGGAGGCTGAGGGAAAGTGACAGGAAGACGGTGGTGGGAAGCACTACCTGCAACACAGCATTGATGAGCAGGAGGTCATCAGCAGGCTTCCAGCGGCCCAGATCCTTGGTCACCTGAAGTGGCTGTTTGCTCTTTTTCACCCGCTTAGTGATTCCAGGAGTGGGGGCTGGACTGGGTGGCACAGGAGTGCTGGGGGCCTTGGACACCTGGGCAGAGGACACAGTGAGCTCAAAGCCAGCATCAGAGCAGCTGGTCTTCAAGTGACAGCCCCAGCCCCACTCGACAATAAGCAGCGCAGGCAGGGAGCTAGTTTTCTAATACCTGTTCCCACCAGGCACTTCTGCACAGTCCTTGACCATATGGGGTCTTCTCGTTACTGGCAGCACCCCCAACCCCAGAGTAGAGGGTGGATGAGAGAATACCAGGAAAACACTCTTACTGGTACAGTGCTGGGGCCAGAGCAATGCCACCTGGGGATTATTTTTACACCCAGCAATGCTGGGAACAGGCTGTCTGCTCCTAGAATAGATGCATGCTCCATGCCTCCCACACAGAATGTGATACAGGATGCATTGAAGGAGGGGGAGGGGGGAAGGGATAGAGAACAAGAAAGAGGGAGTAGGAGGAGATAGGTTCCCGGGAGGGAGGCATCTGAGGTAGTTTGGTCCTTTCATAGCATCCTCTGAAGAACTCTTGCCACTGACAGGTTAGAGGGAAACTCATGCTAGCTGACAAATTGTGGTCCTGGACCCATCTTTCCCCTCCCACTTCCTTGCCACATCTCCCAATTCCTCACCTTCTTCTTCTCACTAGAGGAGGGTTCACTCCCAGAACAGCGCCCTGGTTCCACCCCACTGGCCCCCTTTGCCCGGGTAGAGGACTTGGCCAGGCTGCTCTCCACCAGCTCGTCATCGAACTTCTTCCTCTTGATAAACCTGTGGAGAATCCTACCCAGTGAGTAATCCTGCCTGCTCCCCAACAGCCACATACACCATGCCTCCAGAACACAGCAGGTTCCCAGCTCAGTGGATGGTGCATGGCACTGCTATGCCCCACCCCTCTGAGACAAAAGAGTACTGTACACAAAGGTTTCATGTCAAAGACCTGGGATCTCTCTCCCTTGCCCTCTGTCAGGGATTTAATAGGGACAGGAAAAGCACAAGGCTCTGCCTATTAGGCCTCTAAGGGCCTCAGGAAGTCAACAGGGATGAAGGCATGAAGTGCCTAATGCCCCTGTTCAGTCCCTGGCCATCCGAATCCTTACTACCTGGAGGAGCTTCTCCGTTTAGGGATGGTGCCCAAGGCCTGTGAGGAGGCTCGCTTCTGCCCTGCCAGTGACTCTTCATCCTCTGAGCGGCTGGCAGTGCCTGATGCCATCAGGGAGGAATCTAGTAGCCCCTGGGAATCTAGAAAAAGAGAAATAGTGAACTCAGACCTCCTAAGTGCCTAGCAGAGCCCTGAGCCTCTATTCATAGGTCTTCTCAGCCCTCCCCTTCCTCTGCCAGCCCTCTCAGTCCCTCCCCTGCTTCCTTGACACTTGAGGTTTTAAGGTGGGAATTCCTCGGCCATCCAGATCTCATCTGGGCTCAGACCTGGCCCAGACCTTCCACGCGTGGCAGTTCTCCCGGTGCCACGTGTCATGTCGTGCAGCACATGGTGCTCAGGTCAGACTGGTGATGACGACACACCGGGCTCTGGGCATAACTGCTCCCTCTGCCATCAAAATGCAGCCATGCCGAAGAGCAGCAGCTCAACAGCAAGTCAGTCAATTGTGGCCTCTGCCGAGAGGTATGTGGGTGGTGCTGGCCCAGGGGGAGGTGGCAATGCCCAGCCAGGATGGAAAGACACATGTGCCAGGCACGGGGTGGAATCAGCAGGTGCTTGGTGCGCAAACATTTGGGGAGCTGGCCCGGCCTCATACTACCTTTGTCCATCCTCTTACAGTCCCAAAGCCACCGGTTCCAAACCACAGGGCTAGGAGAAAGGGTCCCACAGGCTCATCCAAGGATTCTGACCAGGTGAGCTTAGAGGCTGGGAGGAGATTCTGCAAAGGAGAAATGAGGCTCCATGAGGCTCAGGATTCCGACTGGCCAGCCTCACCTCCTTATACTGCAACAGGTCCCCCAGGGTCCCATAAGCTAGGGAAGACAACAAGGAGAAGAAAGACAGAAGTCTCTATTTTGCCAATATGACCCTGATAAAGCAGTAGCCTTTGGGAGGTCACTGACATCTTTGAGAATATGATAAAAGCTATGATCCCATAAAAATGTACAAACACATACTATTTAAAGGGTTCACGGACCTCACTAATAGCCCCTAGGTTAATGGCCTTGATATAAACTAGCAGGAAACAAGGGATTCTTCGCTCACTGTCAACAGCTGGCCACTCAGCTCAACAGCACTACCCCTTTCCCTCCCAGCGAAAGGGAAAAGGATAGAATTCCAACCAGTCCATCTCTTTTCTCCCCCCATTTGCATCTTTAGTTGAAGATTTGGTGGGCGGTATCTCGGGGAAACTAACAAATACAATTTGGAAACTCGAATATCAACCGTTACGGGGGGGGGGGGGGGGGGGGAGGCTAGGGGGGCGGGGCGGAGCGGCTCCTAAACTCGGCCAAACTCCGGTCCTGGGACTCGAGGGGGCGCGCCGCTCGCGGGTCCCGCTCCTGCCCAGGCTATTCTCCCGGCCCTGTCCCCAGGTGTGCCCGTCGCACGCCCCACAGAAAACGGCTGGGAAACTTGCCCCTGGGGAGGGGGCGAAGGGCCCCGATCCCACGCCCGACGGAGGCAGCACCTGCGCCTCCTTCCCTCCCTTGGTTCTTTCTCCCTCGAGTGCACACCAAGGTGGGGGTTAGTCCAGGTCAGTTTCAGGAGCTCGGGATAACAGTGGTGGTGAAACGCAAACGCAAACACCGAGAGAATCCCGATGCTCTCGCATTCTTGGCTTAAGCCTCCCGGACCGGTGGCGGGAGTGGGGGGCAAACACCGGGCCCATTCTCACCCCACCTTCAGCAAGCCACCTTTACGCATGCGTAAGCCTCGGACCGGACTCTGGCCCGGCCCACGCATGCGCAGATTACCAGGGCGCTACCGGGGCGGGGCCCTAACCCGGGGACGGGGGAGGGGAGGTCGCCCCTGGAGGCACACTGGGAAATTCTATCGGACCCCCCCAACTCCGCTCATAACCCTTACAGGAGAACCGCGAGGTCTCACCATTCCTAGGCTGCCAATTCCAACAATTTCTCCGCCGCGAAGGCAGCAGCCGCAGGGCCAAAGCCAGTTTCCGTGAGGTACGTCCACTTCCGGGTCTACGAAGTAGGAACTTTACAATCTCTTCCGGTTCGCCCAGAGCACGGGCGTGGAGGGGGCGTGGCCATGGCTGAGGAGGTCACAATTTTGCCAACAGGTGATATGAAAGGCTTTCCCGATAGGGAAACATCAGGGATTATAGGCACCGGAGAGGTTACCCGGTGGAGGGGAGCGATTAAAGGGAGAGGCGAGACTGGGGGCGGGATAGGCTGGGGGGCGAGACCGGGCGGGACGGGGCGGGGCGGGGCGAGGTGGGGACGCTGGGCGGGGCGGCCCGACCGCGGGGTGGGCCCTGCGCGGACTAGGTTTCCGAATTCGCTGAAAGAATTGGAGTCTTTGATAGTTTCCCAGGACCAGTATGCACTGTTTGATTCGACCGTATGTTTTAGAGAGGACAGTCTGTGTCAGGCCCTGTGCCAGTCACGTGACGTGGAGGAGCTCGCCAGAGAGAGGTGGGAGTCGGAAAGGGGCAGGGAGGTTGGTGTCTGTGCTGCGGAGCGGGTGAGCCGCTGGAGAGGCGCTGAGAAAAGGCGCGGTGCTCAGTTGGTCTTCAGCCCAATGGCACCTGGACTGCTAGAGGCATGGTGAGTCCCCAGAGGTAAGAGAGAGAAACCAAAGGAAGCACCCTCAGAGGGGAGTGCTCTGGAGGGAATCTTGGGATGAGAGAACAAGCCTATAGGAAAAGTTGGGAGGTGTGAGGGCTGCCCTAAGAAACCAGAAAAACTGTCCTCTGAAAGAGGATTTTTTTTCTTTGGTTTATGTTTCCTTGGAGTGCACAAAAGTGTAGTAGCGCACTCACCTGGACATTGCCGGGGAATTAAATATCAGATGGAGGGCTGGCCCTTCTAGCCCCGACAGTGTATGATAGCCCCTGCATCAAAAACCCCCACTTCATTTACTGTCCTGTGATTTTGCTTAATGAATATTAACCTATTTAATCTCCCCTGAAATGTTGTGTTTCTTGATATAAGGTCTGGCGGACCATCTAGATATAGTATCTATATTCTATGAGAGTTATCAGGGAGGTCTCTAAGCAGGTGACAGCTGAGCTGTGATTTGATAGTTGATAAGGAACTAGTAATGCGGAAAGCTGGTATAAGATGACCTAGTCAGAGGGTCAAGCATAGCTCCAAAGCAGAAAAGAGTTGTGAATTTGAGGAACAGGTGATGGGGAAAATGAGATATTTTGGGGGGCTAGCAATCTGAATCTAGCCACTGCCCCTTTAATTGTCTGGTCCTGCAAGACCTGTTTATATTCCTTCCCCAAATGAAGTTATCAGTGCTGGCGCCAGGTCAGGAGATCTCAAAGTCCCAGTGCATAGAGCTCTTTATATATTATATTTATATATATATATATATATATATATATATATATATTTTTTTTTTTTTTTTTTTTTTTTTTTTTTACAGAGAGGAAGGGAGAGAGACAGAGGGCCAGAAATGTCAATGAGAGAGAAACATCGACCAGCTGCACACCCCCCACCGGGGATGAGCCTGCAACCATCATACATGCCCCCGACCGGAATCGAACCTGGGACCCTCTAGTCTGCAGACTGAGGCTCTACCACTGAGCCAAACCGGTTTCGGTTTCGGCATGCATAGAGCTCTTTAAGAACTTGCAAAGGGGACCGGAAAAAACCCTAATTTGGGAGACAAAGAACTGGAAAAAGTATAAATAAAGAAAGCTTCCTCCGTATTTTTGCCCAGAATTTAAAAATATGTTTTTCTCTGGGACCTCGAGTAATGATAATAAAGTGGAACTCCAATCTCTCTAAGTGTTGCTTGGTTTTCTCTGGTCTTCTGTAACACAGGAAGGAGTTCAGTGTGGCTAGAGCAGGATGATGAAGAAAAAGAAAGGAGAAGCGAACAAAGAGGTCACAAGGAGAAGGTCAAATTACCCTTGTAGTTTATGGAGTGAACTTTGGCCTTTATGCTTAATGCATTGAACACAGACAATAGATGGTGAAGGCCTGGGAAGCGGGGCATGGAAGGTTAGAAGAAATCATGGGGTAAAGGGGGACATATATAATACTTTCAACACTAAAGATTTAAAAAGAATATAAAAGAAAGAGACCTAGATTTTTGGCCTAAGAAACAGTGATGCTAGCACCTTCCCTTTAGAATATGTTCGGAAACTGGTCCTATAGCACCAATTTCTCATATCCTGATCCAAGTCTGCTAGATCCATCATCTCTCAGCTGGACTACTGCAAGAGCTTCCTAACTAGTCTTTCCGCTTTTGTCTTTACTGCCAGTCTTTCAATTTCTTCACACAGGTAGGCTATTCCTATTAAAATATAAATCTACTCATTCAAGCTTCTTCAGAATCCTCCATCTTCTGCCCTGTAGCTAGTTGGTTGAATGTGGTCTGTGCACCAAGAGGTCACCAGTTTGATTTCGATTTCGAGTCAGGTTGTGGGCTTGATCCCCCATAGGGGGCGTGCAGGAGGCAGTCAATGTTTTTCTCCCCATCTCTCTCTAAAATCAATAAAAACATTTTAAAAAGAAAAAAAATTCTCCATCTTCCTTGGAATAAAAATGCATGGTCTATCTAGTCCCTGCTCCCTCAATGACCTCATCCACTCCTCTTCTCACTTGCCCTTTTTAAAATTTTAGTCTGTGTCCCCTGCACTGTTTACCCTTTCCATGCTTTGTTTTTCTCCTCTAATGTATGATGTATTTTACTTATTTTTTTCTCTTATTGTATGTCCCTCAGCAGTAGAATATAAGCTCTATGAGGGCAGGGATTTTTGTCTGTTTTTTTCAGCATTGTTATAAATATTATTGCTTAATAAATATTGTTTTTTAAATTTCATTTATTTGAGAGTGAGAAAGGGGGAGAGAGAAATATCAATTGTTGATCTACTTGTTTATGCATTCATTAGTAGCTTTCTTTGTTGTTGTTTTGTTTGTAAACCTCACCTAAGGATATTTTTTCCATTGAATTTTTAGAGAGAGTGGAAATGAGGGGGCAGAGAGAGAAACATCCATGTGAGAGAGATATATCCATTGATTGTCTCCTGAATACTCCTGGGCCCTGGCCAGGGACCAACTGCAACCCAGGTTACATGCCCTCTTACCACTGAGCAAAATCACTTAGGAACATTGATTGCTTCTTGTATTTGCCCTGACTGAAGATCAAACCTGCAACCTTGACGTATTGGGACAATGCTCCAATCCAGTGGTCGGCAAACTCATTAGTCAGCAAAGCCAAATGTCAACAGTACAACGATTGAAATTTCTTTTGAGAGCCAAATTTTTTAAACTTAAACTTCTTCTAATGCCACTTCTTCAAAATAGACTCACCCAGGCTGTGGTATTTTGTGGAAGAGCCACACTCAAGGGGCCAAAGAGCCGCATGTGGCTCGCGAGCTGCAGTTTGCTGACCATGGCTCTAATCACCTAAGCTACTCCACCATGGCTTTAAATATTGTTGAGTAAGTATCTCTATATATAAAAACCTAAGTGACCAGCCGACCGTCCTACCAACTGGCTGGTAGCTATGACATGCACTAACCACCAAGGGGCAGATGCTCAACCAAGGAGCCGCCAGGCTGCAGTGACTTGGCAGCTGTGGTTCTCAAGTGACACATCTGGAACCAGAGGGGAGGAAGCCTGATTTCAGG